ATCTTAGATCCTTTGGATAAGTGCAAACTTAAGGTATTCAATAGGTTAAAAGACTAACCGGGTGTTGCAGTGGTCGCTGTGACTGTTGTTGTAACTTTGTTACTTGTTGTCGTCGAAGCTTCTGTCGGTGTTATCTGGATATTTGTCAAACCTGTTGAAGTAGAATTTGTTTGCATTATAATGCTGCCTGTGTTCGTAAAAATAGTCGAAGTTGTTGTTATTGCTTTTGTCGTGGTCGATGTTAATGATGTCAGGATTGTTAAATTGCTAGTTGCTAGTGCTTTTAGTAGAAGAAAGAAAGTTATTTAATTTGAGTTCACTCTTGTTCGGTGGTGTACTTAGTTTATTTTCACAAAGCTGAAGTGCTGGTATATCTTAAACCGTTTGCATAAGTGCAAACTTAAGGTGTGCAATGCGCTAAAAACCCTGGTGTAATTTGAATGTTTTTTTGCAATTGGAGTTTCCTTTAACCGAGACCGTTTGCTAAGATTCGAAGTTTGATGCTTTAACACAACTGGTTCCGAACCTTTTTAAGAGGTTGTGCGTACCACATTAAGAGGTTACGTTCCCTAAGCGGGAGGGTGAATGAGAGACTCAGTTTGAGTGGTGTAATTGCTTTAGAACGACTCGTTTCGAACCTTTTTCAAAAGTTGTGTCGTCCAGGTGGGTGGGGTGTGGTAAGGGAAGACTCACTATCTTCGAAGAAGACAGTAAGGAAGTTCCACGAAACTAACCCGGTGTTGCAGTGGTCGCTGTGACTGTTGTTGTAACTTTGTTACTTGTTGTCGTCGAAGCTGCTGCCAGTGTTATCTGCATATTTGTCAAATCTGTTGAAGCAGAATTGCTTTGCAATATAATGCTGCGTGTGCTCATAGTCGAGAAGACAGAAATAGTCGAATTTGTTATTATTGATGTTGTCGGAGTCGACGTTAATGATGTCAGGATTACTAAATCGCCAGTTGCTATTGCTTTTAGTAGAAGAAAGAAAGTTATTTAATTTGAGTTCACTCTTGTTCGGTGGTGTACTTAGTTTATTTTCAAAGTGCTCAAGTGCTGATTGATCTTAGATCCTTTGGATAAGTGCAAACTTAAGGTATTCAATAGGTTAAAAGACTAACCGGGTGTTGCAGTGGTCGCTGTGACTGTTGTTGTAACTTTGTTACTTGTTGTAGTCGAAGCTTCTGCCGGTGTTATCTGGATATTTGTCAAACCTGTTGAAGTAGAATTTGTTTGCATTATAATGCTGCCTGTGTTCATAAAAATAGTCGAAGTTGTGGTTATTGCTTTTGTCGTGGTCGACGTTAATGACGTCAGGATTACTAAATTGCCAGTTACTATTGGTTTTAGTAGAAGAAAGAAAGTTATTTAATTTGAGTTCACTCTTGTTCGGTGGTGTACTTAGTTTATTTTCAAAGTGCTCAAGTGCTGATTTATCTTAGATCCTTTGGATAAGTGCAAACTTAAGGTATTCAATAGGTTAAAAGACTAACCGGGTGTTGCAGTGGTCGCTGTGACTGTTGTTGTAACGTTGTTACTTGTTGTAGTCGAAGCTTCTGCCGGTGTTATCTGGATATTTGTCAAACCTGTTGAAGTAGAATTTGTTTGCATTATAATGCTGCCTGTGTTCATAAAAATAGTCGAAGTTGTGGTTATTGCTTTTGTCGTGGTCGACGTTAATGACGTCAGGATTACTAAATTGCCAGTTACTATTGGTTTTAGTAGAAGAAAGAAAGTTATTTAATTTGAGTTCACTCTTGTTCGGTGGTGTACTTAGTTTATTTTCAAAGTGCTCAAGTGCTGATTTATCTTAGATCCTTTGGATAAGTGCAAACTTAAGGTATTCAATAGGTTAAAAGACTAACCGGGTGTTGCAGTGGTCGCTGTGACTGTTGTTGTAACGTTGTTACTTGTTGTCGTCGAAGCTTCTACCGGTGTTATCTGGATATTTGTCAAATCTGTTGAAGTAGAATTGCTTTGCAATATAATGCTGCGTGTGGTCATAGTCGAGAAGACAGAAATAGTCGAATTTGTTATTATTGATGTTGTCGGAGTCGACGTTAATGATGTCAGGATTACTAAATTGCCAGTTACTATTGGTTTTAGTAGAAGAAAGAAAGTTATCTAATTTGAGTTCACTCTTGTTCGGTGGTGTGCTTAGTTTATTTTCAAAGTGCTCAAGTGCTGATTGATCTTAGATCCTTTGGATAAGTGCAAACTTAAGGTATTCAATAGGTTAAAAGACTAACCGGGTGTTGCAGTGGTCGCTGTGACTGTTGTTGTAACTTTGTTACTTGTTGTAGTCGAAGCTTCTGCCGGTGTTATCTGGATATTTGTCAAACCTGTTGAAGTAGAATTTGTTTGCATTATAATGCTGCCTGTGTTCGTAAAAATAGTGGAAGTTGTTGTTATTGCTTTTGTCGTGGTCGACGTTAATGATGTCAGGATTACTGAATTGCCAGTGGCTGTGTCAGGTGACAATGTGGTATTAGATACGGATGTGGTGTTAACTGTTTCAATGGTTGTGGTAGGATTTGAACGTGTGTAAACAGTGACTAATCCGACTGTAACGGCTAACACAGTTAGACACGCGAGGACGTACAGGGCCATTTTTATGGTTCTGCTTGTGTTCAGCAGGTCATGAGCTCATTGTGACTTTCAATAATGCTGAAGTTATCGCGGTATACTCAGTTTGAGTTGGAGAATTATGACTTTAGAAATCTAAAACTAACTTTTTTCTAGGTAAGTGGGTAAGCTTGGGATGTCTGAAGATGTTTAGAGAAAGTGCTTCTTCTCACTCATTCTTCTTCGCTTCGTCTAGAAGATGGGATTCACTAGTCAGTATTCTATGCAGAAGTAACAGCAGCAAATGTGAAATTATCATATCCAAAAAAGGAGAATATAAAGTTTGTTTTTTAAAAAGGGAAAGTGATAAATAATGTGTTTCTCTATTTTTTTCTTATTTACTTGTTGTATACATGGATTGTAACTCCCGTATTAGTACTCTCCGTATTTCAGTATTTCCTAGAATTGTAAGAACTTACTGCGAAATTTTATTCCGAGATTAACAGAAGAATTTGACTTTTAAAAACCTAAAACTAACTTTTTTCCAGGTAACTCGATAAGCTTCATCCAGTTATGCCAAGAAACGAAAAAAGAACCATGCTAACGTTTTGGACTGTCGACTACATGGTAATATTTTTATGAGTTTGATTGCCTTTCTTTCAGGTAATTGTGTCATGAAATTATATTTTTATTCAATAAAAATGTAATTTGCTTCTCAATCAGTTCTGGAAAAAGGTTTTAAATCTCTTTTTCACTTTCGTGACTTTACGGCTTTTCTGCGAGCCATGATAATCAAACATAATATGTGTTAAAACTTTAGTTATTCAGTGAATAACCGCATTAATTTTATGTAGAAAATGAAATAAAGTGGAAATGAAACATGAAAACAAGATTAAAATAGTAGGTACAGCATAGCTCCTATATATGTATATAGGACGTTATTTCTGTTTAAAGAACAAAATCAGGAAAAGTAGATTTAATATTTTTATCGACATGTTCGTTTATTTTATGTTCAAACGAAGTAGTGCTGGCTATGATTTTATTCTATATTCTACCCACTTCGCGAACTAAAGTAATTAGAGAGGACTCTTTTCCACTTTTTATACTAATCTGAAGTATACAAGTTGTACTGCATATTGATCTGTTTCTTAGAAAAAGGTCCCTTTCGGTTTTCTTTGGTTTTAATTAACGAAGTTAACAGAGTACGGAATAACTTACAACTAGGAACATTCGATAATTTTATCTTTTTCTTACTTTATTCGATAAACAGAAAAATTGCTGTCTATGGATATTTCTGCTCATCAAAAGGATAAATTAAAAACGGCATCTCTCTTTTTAAAGTCAAAGAGCAGGACAATTGGAAAGATAATACTTGGTTACTCCATATTCGGAGACACTAACGAAGTAACTACCGTCCACCTTGAGGATTAGATGAAGAATTTGAAATAAATCGCTGCGCACGTTTTTTTCCCGTTAGGATAAAAACTCAGCGCAGACACTCTTTATGTGACCCCATTTTCTTTGTCAGGATATGGAGTACGCTCATACTGGATATTATCTTTCTTAAGAATAGACTGAATGAATATTTCGACGAAAATATAAGATTTCTTCATTTGTTGTTTTCCAAATAAAATTGTACGACAGCGGCATCGTTTTAGACACAACTTGTATAACTTTAGCATGTAATTAATTATACATAACTGTTTACCAATTTGTAACTGTTTATTATCAACGTACAATAAAAGGGCCCTGCCGGATTTAAAAATTTGACAGTATTAGGAATCAGCGTCCCAACCTACGTCGAATGATGTACTGTGTTAGTCTATCCGACTACTTTGATTTTTTTCGAATTTCTACGTTGGAAAATTCCTGAGATTCTCACCAAAAAATGAAAATAAACAAAACGTTTTGAAATATATATCATTCGACGTAGGTTGGGACGCTGATTCCTAATATGATATTTTTATTGCATAAAACGTGATTCCCGATGATTAAAATTGAGAATACCGGCATAATTCCGATTTTTGCGCCTCTGATCTAGAAATATGAACGTTCTCAACGACAAAGCACGATGGAAGAAAGAGAGGTATGTACTTTTAAACTTCGTTTAATGGGGGTTCTAATGACGTGCAAAAATCGGCTCTATCTTTCCAAAGGAAAAACTAGATAGGTTTGCGAAATTGTTGAATTTGTTGAATTTTAAGACCAAAAATGATCAATAACATATACGAAGCTTTTTCAATGTTGAAATTTTTTCTGATTGATGCACCCGGCATTGAAGACGCAAATTGTGTTGCTAGATAGAGTTAAGTATCAGGCAATTTTTGATAAAGTTTGGCGGTGGTACTGTATTTCTTTGACCTGCTACAGAAGTTTTAGTGAAACGTATGAAAAATGAAAATTTGAAATTTTACTCGAAAAATATTTTTTCTCAAATAACAACCGTATTCTTTTAATTCTTTTATCGCCAGTTTATAGCGCGTTTTCCACTCTACAAAATCCGGTATAAACAATATTTTCACTAGACCTCCTTACTGAGTTGAAAAACGCCAGTCAATCCAAAATTTTTTTCTGGCGTCACTTGCAACTGTTCGTGAGAGGACGCCACAGTAAGGGCCCAGAATAGGTGTCTGCCATTCACAAGAATTCTCACTCCAGGTAAATGATAGAGAGCTCGGGCTGGTTTTGTTTTGCAATAAACACCTATGCCTAGGAGTTGACAGAGTTCGATTTTTGAATTTTATATTTACTGATTTCTGGTGCTTAATAGAACTTTAAAATCCGAAAAATCCTTGGAAATTTCTCAGAAAGCCTCATTTCTATCACAAATAGAAGCATAATTTAAAAATCGGACTCTGTCAACTCCTACCTATAGGTGTTATCTACAAATCAAAAAAAAGAAAAACTTCCGCCAATGTATCGTTACCGAGAACTCCTGTGAATGGCGAAAGCCCTGACGCTAAACAACAGTCTTAAGAAAAACGCAAAGTCTGTTAAACGCGTTTTACTTAAAAACTGTTTGAGCGTTAAATAATTTGTCGATATTTTGCTAGAGGTTTTCGATCATGGCGGATCTAATGAACATGTGTGCAAAAAAAGGGTCTTAAGTCTAGAAAGAAAGTCGTTGCATTAAATTCATAGCGTAGAATGTTCTTGGATAGAACAGTAAATGAATATTCCCACTAAAGTATAACTATGCAAATCAACGTTTAATATAAAGTATATGCGGCTATTCTCTTTTCGTTCTCTTCGTTCATCCCGACAATACACAAAACAAAGAAAATCAGAGAAGAAAAAATATATACAGAAATATGCCGAGAAAAAATGGGGGAATAGAATAAAAAGCGCTAGTTTCCACGCCAAAACAGTTTTTCGTTTCTTTCTTAAAAACTAAGAGTTGTCCAGGAAAAGGGGTAGCATATCTGAAATCCTCATTAAATTCCCCATCGATTGATGTATTCCGTTTCCTTATAAACCACCTCCAGGAAAAGTGACCTGTTTTTCTATATTACTTCTTTATTAAAGAATATGTGCACATTAAAAACAAAATTGATGTAATATATAAATAGAACCTGCTGTACCTAGCAGATATGAAATAATAACAATGCAAACTGCTATTTGACCCAGACGAAAAAATTGATT